AATTTTAATTATTTCAAGTGATTTATTTCAAGATTACTTTAACTTATTTATATAGATATATATATAAATAATCTATAAATAGCCAAGATATATTCGATGTTGGAAATTAAACTTTGCAGAGAACAGTGCCAATTTAACTTTTACAATAACGAGAAATTGATTTGAGAGCTAAAACTCGCTAATTAATTTTTTACGTTTAATTGTTTCCATGATATTTTATGTGCTCGATTTGCGTCAAGCCCATAAATTTATTCTGATAAACTTGTCAAGGTACGGACGTAACAAGTGTAATTACGAACACCTTAGCGATTTATTGGAATCCTCTAGAATAGGAGCGGGATCAGAATTCTACAAGGGAGTTATGCGAGAGGACTTCGGACGGCGCGAGGATGGATGTAAATTCCACATCCCGTTTAAGCTGTCAATTAAAAGTGCTAGAAATTCACAGCCATCGTCGAACTATTCTTCTTTATAATTACTTTCATTAAGGTAACCGACTCCAGCTGTCAGCAACGATTGCGATCGGTGATGAAGCGAAAATCATTACTTCGAAGGAGGAAACGCGAGGTGCGATCGACTGTGATACATTCGTTCATCGATAACCGCGCCGCTTTGCTCATGACATATCGTCATGCTCGAGTGGATTTATACCGCCGCAGATTTACAATTCGCGCTATTTCGCAACAAAAGCAACAGTATTAAATATCAAATTAACCATTCCGATGCGCGAGAGATTCAGCTTTGTGTTGCGATAAACGATTTTTCACGATATTGCAGATTCTGTTAATGAATCTTTTTCAACATATACTTTCTATAAACACATATTTTTATTATTCCATATATAATCATATAATACTTTCTAAGCGTGTTCATATTATTTCGCTGCCGTGCGTACGCGACAAATAAATAAATGAATAATATCAAACGTCACAAAATTCTCAATCTGCGATATTTTTACGTTGTGAAATAAATGTCAGAAAAATATCATATTGTAATAAATGCAAAATGAAGCGTCCTTTAGCTGGAAGCTTAACGACAGCGATCTTCTCATTATAATATGTCTTTTTTAAAGCGCCAAATAGACGGAAGCAATAAAGTCCTTAATCCACCTGTTCTGAGAAAAACACACGTAGCATAATGCTTTCATAAAAGCGTGCGTTTTGACACGGCCGTATAATCCTGGTCGTGCTCCAATAGGTGGCTATTAAAACAGCCATTAAAAATTTTCATTATAATTCCTTGCGTACAAACAGGGGACAAATAACATTGTCGGGCTAATTAATGTTGAGCTTGATAGCGGTAGTTAATTAATTCTGTTTTAGGTACGGATCTAATGAAGCGTATTTCATTGCAAAAACAATGTTAAAAAGATGCATCGCGGATGAATTATATATTGTTAAAATTTATATAGTATTATATATTATCACGATAAGTGCAGCAAACACAGAAAATGTTCGATTTATGCAAATCTACTTCTATCCGTTCATAATCCGGGATTTCGTGCGACATTGTGCGAACAGTTTTCTGTTTCTCGCGGGAAAAGTAATTGTCTGGTATCCTGCCATCGCAATTACACAAAGGTACGTAATGAAATGTAATTTAAATTGGCGAGAGGGAAGGAAAGGAATCCGGGCTGCCGGACGACGCGGAAGTGTCGATGTCGATCGGCGAAACGTGACGGCGCTTTAACGAGGATTCAATTTTGTCACCGTCGCGTCGCCGGGACGGGAAACGCGAAAAGGAGTCCGGAAACTTCCGGAAGTTCTCCCCGAGCCCGGGCTTTTATTACCAGGGCGTCCAGGAAACTTTCTCTCTCGTGCGCGGTTTCGGCACCGAAACTTTCGGCGTCGGCGACGCATAACCGCCGCAATTGTGCCTTCAGCGATGTCCTCCGCCGAGAAACCTTCGCGGAATTTGATCAACTGGATGACGCTGTGTTCGCGCATTATCACACACGAATTTTATTCAGAACTGCAGCCAGAAGTTACTCGCCTTCGCGACTCGTAGTCGAGCAGACAGATGTCTCGGTGCCACCAATTGCGACGATTCTCCCCGGAAGGACCTAATGCGGTTTGGCTCACAAATGACTTGCCGAGAATGCAAATGTGTCTCCCGACGATATCGCGCATACATATTTATTACGTCACGAGTGACGCGTTTGACTATGTTACAGCTTTTCCGGAGATGTTTTGGGAGAAGATAAGAAAACGTTTGAATCTGAATTGAAGGCAAGCAGTCTCAAGTCGCTGTTTGCCTCCAATTTGTTTGCATGTGCTTGTCTCTAATTGTAAGCTCCGAAATAAATTTTCATATAATTCTCTTTCACTTTCTCAGCGCGGTACATAAAGAGATGCATCCGGTATTACGGAAACGTGAAATTTTGAAGAAATACTTACTCTCTATCTCTCTATCTCTCTCTCGAGTTGCGTACATCCGAGTTGTATAATTTATACCAGCTTATACTATTACGCGTTGTGCAAATTTTATCCATCCATTCCGACTGCAGTAATAACAAGAAGCCATCGCTGGCTGAGTTATGACGAAAACTTTCGGCAGACACACGTTACTCTCGGCGCGAGATTGAAGTGCTTCTTACTTGCGTCGGAAGTAGTATCGCAATTCCGGAAAGCGAGTGGCAATTCAATGGCTTGCCGTAGTTTCGAACAGAACGGTTATTGCCGGATCCCACACACGACGCGCAGGGGATAAAACTGAATGACGTCTGTGCACTTTCGCCAGTCATATCGCGCCCGTCAAATGACACCGCGTCCGTGGTGCTCTCTCTCATTTAAATGATGGATGCCCGGGCGTTATTACATTCTTTGGGAGCGGTTAATCACTCGTCAACGTCTCGTGAAGTCTCGTGAAGTCTCGTGATAATAAAGTGCACCTCTCCCCGTATTATGGATCAACTTTGCCCTTATCGCGGGATGAATGTAGTTCGGCGATAGCCGGTAGATTGAGCGCGGAAATGTGAATGGCGAGAGCCACACCTTCGCACCCTTTCAAATGTGTAAAGTTTATTCATGTATTAGCATGTATTCTATGAATCAAGCGTGCGTCTCTTTTGCATACTGATATCTGAGTGAACTTTCGGAGTTGGCAAATTGAAGCGGTGAAACTGCGTCGTCAAAGCGTTTGGATACTATCGCGCGCGCTACTACTTTACGAATCATACAGAAGTTCACATTTCGCGTCTAATAGCGAAGTCCCTATACGAATGGATTAGATATTGAACGTCACTTTGAGCGACTCTCCTGTCACTCAACGATTGAAAAACCTAGCTAATAAGAAATAAAAGTTGTTG